AGAAATAAAACAGCCGTGCAGAGGAAACAGAGCCGCTGCTCCTTCTTTGGACTCTCGGTTGTCCCGGGACTCGGCTGGCCAGTGAAGCGCAACTTCCAAACCAGGGTTCTAGCTAGGAGTCACGGGAAGGGCAAGCTCATTAATTATCTCTCCCTCTCTTCCTCCCTCCATCCTCCCATCACACCCTCCCTTCATTACCAGCAAGGTTAATCCTCCCCTTATCTCCCAATGAGGCTCATTTTTCATGACTCCCTTTCTACGACGCTCCCTCCCTTCCCTCATCTCTTCTCCATCCTTCCTTCTCCGTAATTCTTCCCCCTGTCTTTCCTTCTGTTGTTCAGTTCTTCCCTGCATCTTTGCCTAGTTTGTTATTCAGCCACTCCCACCCCCCACGTGCTTCCCGTTTCTTCTGCACACTTCCCCGTCTTCTCATTCCCACTGTATCGTTTTAAATTCGATCTCCTTTCCTTTTCATTTCCTTTAATTTTATTTCCCCTCGTCTCCTCGCTTTCCCCTCCGCTCTCTCCTGTGCTTACCTTGAACGGGCCGTGGCGAGTATCTATTACAGCTTATCACTAAAGGACAGGCCAACGCCGCACGCCGGTGAAATATGGCTGCTGTCACAGCCGCCGCGGAACACGACCGGCGCACAAGGCTCACAGAGCTGTGAGGACAGGGGGAGAAGAGGGGAGAGGAGGACTGGAGAAGGGGGTTATGGAAGCCCCTAATTCAAATTAATGGGAAGATTTCCAGGCCTGATGCCGACCGTTTGACAGTGATTTGGCACACAATTAACCTTGTCTCCCTCTCCCTTCTGCAACACCCCCCGCCCCCCGTCACCTCCTCGATTCCACTTGCCTCCTTTTCTCTCCGACTCCGTCTATCCCCTGTAACTGCCGCGCTCTTTGACACAGTCTTAGTGATTACGAAGCAAATTGAAATGCTGATGTTTTGTGATATCAGCTGACATCCCCTTACTGTCGCGTCCCAATTGAATTAGTTCTGAATCGCTGACGTCCACGCCGCATAACATGATGCGACTGCCTCATTTTAGATTTTGGCACGCCCTGTCCCACCACGACTCCTTAACACAGTTTAGAGGAAGTGTGAGAATAACTCTAATTGCCAGGTAGAGGTTTTGTTGTCCGGTTTTAATGATGCAACCGCTTTATTTAGGAAAATCCAGCTCACCGACACACAGAGCAGACTCATAGATTCACATTCAGCGACCTGTTTAAAAGGCCGTCCCTGCTGCAGCTCCAACCTTTCAGCTAGATTTTACTGACTGCTTTTATAGGCCATTTCACCTTGGGTTCCAGTTCAAGGCACCAAACAGCCTATAGCTTTCAAGCAGAGGAGAACAACTGGAGTGTTACAGAGAAAGAGGGAGGTGTACGGAGTAACAAAATGGAAAGGAGAGAGGTAAAGGTTTGTGAAGAGAGCTTTCCCGTCTGGCCCTTCAGAGAAAGTACAAACCGTCAGTGTGATTTGTCATTGTCGTTACCACAAACGGCTAAAATATCTTGCTTGTAATACCTTTTTGCTTGCAACCTTGGTTATAAAGTCATCAGCGTTAAGGTGGGATGATATTAACTGTAGCTACCTTGCTGCTTTAGATTCCCACAGATGAATGGGAGGAGAGGAGGAGAGTGCGTTTGCAGTGACAGTTTGCAGGTAGCTGAGCGAAGACGTCGAAGATCCCTGCGCCGGCACAATGTTGCTGACAGTCGGTGATTATCCCAGGACTTTTTTTTTCCGAGACTCTGCCTCAGCACATGTGACATGAAGGAATCACAGCAGAGACAAGCGTGGCAGTTGGGTGACAGACAGCAGGGCGTGAGCGCTGTCTGAGGGTCTGAGAACGATGACGATGTGACACTGTCGGGTCTCAGAGTGGAGCTCGACAGACATCTGCAGACAGGGGAAACGTCTAATAACGACACGCCAAAATAATGTCGTACACAAATCGCCTTGTCTTATTTTTCTGTTCTCTAATCTTTAGTTATATGTCTGGGATTTAAAAGAGGTTGATATTTTGATAGACACGAGCTTCAACTGGTTAATAACAACTCGTTTTTATAGCAGAGTTGTTGTAGTTTTATGTTTTCTAATTAGTTTTTATTTTGCTTTTAATTCAGTTTAGTTTCAGTTACTTTCCAGAGTGGTTTTTAGTTTGTGTATTTGAAAATGCTTCGTGTTTTATTAGTTTCAGTGTTTAGTTTTAGCCATTTTTATGATGTGTATATGTCAGAGGCAACATTTAGAAAGATCAGTACAGGTTTTACAATAAAAACACAAAAACCAGGTCGCCAGGTCTTTGGTTTGTTTTACATCAGCCTTCCTGTGTGGAGTTTGCA